AAAAAAAAAACCACTGATCCATAGTTCATGTTTACAAAAGTCAATAAATTTACAAACATTTATTATAACATGCCACATCCAATTCACATGAAATGTCATACTCGTCTAAAGTTGATTTCAGCATATTGACCAAGCTTCTTGCAAATCTGTTGCTGTGAAAAAAAAAAGTATTGCTAAAATTTGTCTATATTTGGTTATTTGGTCAAGTGGGTTGGAGGTATTCACCAAGAAAAAAAATAGGGTTGAGGTTTTTTTGATACAAAGAAGTATTGGGGAGGGAGGAATCGGACCTAAGATCTAGGATACATTATTAAATATTTTTAATTACTTGAACTACAAGCTCCTTGCGAGATTTCTTGAATCATATAATCCATAGAAAAGGACGGGTCCTTAAGTCAACCACAGAAATGGAGGAAAACGTAGCTGGATTGGATTGGTAACTTCGAAAAGACCACCACATGCAGGGCAAGTAGTATACGAGACTTTTTGAAAGAAATGGTCACCTGTACTACTGTTCTATATATTGAACTCATTGACCTTAATAAATACAACACACACCATTCTCATATTCTTCATGCTGAGATCTTCAAACCATCTTCTATTAAGTTCTTTTAGTTCTTGAATCGAATGGAAGATGCTACATTGCAAGCATCTCTTATCCCCTTTGAGCTTCAAGAGAAAAGTAGTTGCAGTAGCAACACCCAACAACCTCACATCAATCAATCACAGGCCACTACTGTTGCCTAAATTGCCTGGTTTCTTGAGCATGGATGATGTTACACGATCTCAACCGTTGCCTTTGGCTTCAACAGCTGCCAAGGCATCCCAGAACAACACCATTGATCCACACCCCAACTATGAGGGCATGAAGATCAAAGGGAGGGTGGTGTTGATGAAGAAGAATGTTCTGGACTTGAACGACCTTACAGCATCGGTTCTCGATCGTGTTGAAGAGCTGGTAGGCAAAGCGGTTTCTCTGCAGCTCATTAGTTCTGTCAATGGTGACCCTGGTGAGAACTGAATACTACTTTGTCTTTTAAGTTCATAGATACATAGGCTTCTAGTTCACTTGTTAATTTGTTAGCATCCATGCTTATTTAATGGTTCCAAGTTACTTGTAGTTATTAGTACCAGAACCTCAAAAGAGAAAACAAAACATCTCAATTAAGAACAGAGAAAGAAAAAAAAACTAGTATTTGGAGGTTTTATAATTGAACATCTATTGATCCTTTTTTCATTTGATCTCCTTTTGTAGAAAAGGGGTCCCCAGGAAAAGTTGGAAAGCCAGCATATTTGGAAAATTGGATTACCACAATCACCCCCTTAACAGCAGGGGACTCTGCATTTGATATTACTTTTGATTGGGATGAGGAGATTGGGGTCCCAGGAGCATTTATAATTAGAAATGATCATCACAGTGAGTTTTACTTGAAGACTCTCACGCTTGAAGATGTTCCTGGTGAAGGTCAAATCCACTTTGTCTGCAACTCATGGGTGTACCCTGCTGACAAGTACAAAAAAGACCGCATTTTCTTCGCAAACAAGGTAAAAGTTTGTAGGATGAAAGAATGCAGTTCTAATGCAACTCATTAATCACGCATGAGAGAGAGAAAGAGAGAGAGGGAGATTGAAGTCCATTAAGACAAACTCATTTAGTTGTAGTTTATGGACTGCTAGAAATACTGCAAATGGTAAACTAGTAGGTTGATTTGTATATTTGTGCAGACTTATCTTTCAAGTGACACACCGAAGCCACTACAGAAATTCAGAGAAGAAGAGCTAGTAAACTTGAGAGGAGATGATGATGATAAAACAAGAGAGCTTCAGGAATGGGACAGGGTCTATGACTATGCCTATTACAATGATTTGGGGAATCCAGATAAGGGTCAGGAGTATGCCCGTCCAGTTCTCGGAGGGTCGAGTGAGTTCCCTTATCCTCGCAGGGGAAGAACAGGAAGACCACCAACTGAGACAGGTTAGTTGATAAACTTGGTATTTTTTCAGTCTTTAGAAATGACAAACAGGAAATATGGATTTCTACTACTTTTAGCTCATTCAGAAAGAATGGTTGTCATGAAGAATTTTCTGATTTTGTCTTGATAGATCCTAACACTGAGAGCCAGCTGAAGCTTATTATGAGCCTAAATATATACGTTCCAAGAGACGAACGATTTGGTCCCTTGAAATTGTCAGACTTGCTTGCTTATGGTTTGAAAACCATACCTCAGGTCCTTAAACCTGAGCTAGCAGCTCTACTTGTTGGCAGCCACAATGAGTTCAACAACATGCAAGAAGTACTTAAGCTCTATGAAGGAGGTATAGAGTTGCCTGATGGTATACTAAAATATATTAGGGATAGCATACATGAAGAGCTGTTCAAGGAACTTTTTCGAACTGATGGTGAAAAATTCCTCAAATTCCCAGTGCCTCAAGTGATCCAAGGTATGTAGTTTACTAGTCTATGTGCCTTCATTTATACTGCTTTCTTTTACCTGACGCTGGTCTTCTAATGATTTTTACTAGACAATAAGTCGGCATGGAGAACTGATGAAGAATTTGCAAGAGAAATGCTGGCTGGAGTAAATCCTGTCGCCATTCGTCGTCTCCAAGTAATGTTAAGCTTTCGTGATCTATTGTGTAAATTTGTTTTTTTTATTTATTTAAGAAAATGGAAAACTCGAAGCTACATTTGAATTTATATTACTTTGACTTTCATCCTTAATCATTGTTATTCCTGAATAAACTGCAGGAATTTCCACCTGCTAGCAAGCTAGACCAAAAAGCATATGGGGATCAAACAAGTCAAATAACCAAAGAACACATAGAACATAACTTAAAAGGACTGAGCATAGATGAGGTAATGCTACTGACTTATTTAATTCAACATATGTTCTTGTTATATTCTTATTCGAAAATAATTACTGAAAAGTATTTGGTGTTATAGGCAATCAAGAACAACAAGCTATTCATATTAGACCACCATGATGAATTGATGCCGTACCTGAGGCGTATAAACACAACTTCCACAAAAACTTATTCAAGCAGAACACTCCTTTTCTTAGAAAATGATGGGACTTTGAAGCCATTAGCTATTGAGTTAAGCTTGCCACATCCTGATGGAGATCAATTTGGCTGCATTAGCAAAGTCTATACTCCCTCTAGCCAGGGCGTCGAGAGTTCCATTTGGCAACTTGCTAAAGCTTATGTGAATGTAAATGACTCTGGCCATCATCAGCTCATCAGCCACTGGTATAACACTGTCAAAGAAAGCATGGCAACCAAACATTTTTCCCCAAATGCATCTTGAATATGTTCTTGTTGTGTTGCAGGTTAAAAACTCATGCAGTGATTGAACCGTTTGTGATAGCAGCAAATCGGCAGTTGAGCGTGCTTCACCCAATTCATAAACTTCTGCATCCTCATTTTCGTGAAACTATGAATGCAAACGCAATAGCTAGAGAGGTTCTTACAAATGCCGGTGGAATTATAGAGGAAACAGTCTTTCCTGCAAAGTTTTCAATGGAATGGTCGTCTGTAATGTACAAGAACTGGGTCTTTCCTGAACAAGCACTTCCCGTGGATCTCATCAAAAGGTAAAATATTATGACCATAACGTTTTTCATCTAAAAATTTCGGCAATGGATGCAACTCAAATATTAGAGCTAAGACACAATGTTACAGGGAAAAATGAATACAATTAAAGGGTCTAAAAGATTTGATGAATACTGTCATTATGTTCTAAACAAGTCTCAAAAACAACGAAGATGACAGGCTTGATGGTTTTTAATTATCTACCCCTTGCTATGTTCAGAGGAATGGCAGTTGAAGATCCAAAATCGTCACATAGTGTACGCTTACTGATAGAGGACTATCCATATGCTGCTGATGGGCTTGAGATATGGTCTGCAATTAAAACATGGGTTAAAGAGTATTGCTCCTTCTACTATAGAAATGATGAAATGGTTCAAAACGACTCAGAACTCCAGTCTTGGTGGAAGGAACTCAGAGAGGAAGGTCATGGTGACAAGACAGATGAACCATGGTGGCCTAAAATGCAGACTTGTGAAGAGCTGATAGAATCATGCACCATTATCATATGGCTCTCTTCAGCCTATCATGCAGCAATCAACTATGGCCAGTACTCTATAGGTGGATACGTCCCAAACCGGCCAACCATAAGCCTGCACTTCATGCCGGAAGAAGGCACTCCTGAGTATGAGGAACTCAAAACTAACCCTGACAAGGCATTCTTGAAAACATTTACACCTCAGCTGCAGACCCTGCTTGGCATGGCCTCCATAGAAATCTTATCAAGGCACCCAGTTGATGAGCTTTATCTGGGGCAGAGAGGCACCCCAGAATGGACAACAGATGCAAACATGTTGCAAGCCTCTGAGGATTTTAGAAAGAAGCTGGAAGGAATTGAGAAAAGAATTATAAAAATGAACAAGGATGAGAAATTGAAGAACCGAGTTGGACCAGCCAAGATCCCATACACTTTGCTCTATCCTTCTAGTGAGCCTGGACTTACTGGCAAGGGAATTCCCAACAGTGTTAACATCTAATGCTTCTCTTTTTGTTGTATGAATAAATTCAGAAATTGTTCATGTGTTTACATGTGAATGCAAGCCCATCCATGACCATGGATCTGAAAGG